AAGTATGGATCAGATTGCCCCTTCCACACGGTGTGGACATACCATAGAGATGGCAACTCCAACGAAGAGATGGAATATGCAGTCTCCCCAGACGGTTGTATGAGGTTCTACATGTGGACTAATAAAGACATTCAAGCGTAAGTATCAATTCATGCCAACGCATTTCAAAGTAGATTTGTTTACATATGTCAACATCAATAGCACGCATACATATCCTATCAGGTGAAGAGGTTTCGCAGTAGCCAAACTTGTTTAATAATGATGACTGTATTCATTATTGATTAATGCTATAATTATCATCGAACATAATATTGATGATCGTTTTCAATTTTCTATTTCATAGCAAAGTTTGCGACTATTTAATCACCGATGGCAACTGGCACTTTGTATGCACAACCTACGACAGTCTGACTGGAGCTCACCAAATCTTCTTGGATGACCAACCGAAATACACTGGCACTTCCTCACAACTTGTAAGCTACATCGCTGACACAGGGGCTAACTTCATAATAGGACAGGATGTTGACAATACACAGACGGACTTTAGTACAAAACAAGCATTTGTGGGGGATTTAGCTGACCTGAACGTGTACCATCGTATCCTGACTGATGCTGAGGTTGCAACAATCAGAACCTCTTGTCTTTCTAATGGCGGCTCTGTCATAAAGTGGCTTGACTTCAAGACCACAATAGCTGGAGGTGTATTGCTGGACATGCCATCTAACTGTACACCGTGAGGCCAATATTTCGGTTTCAGATCGAAGAGCAAATATACTTTGATGCTTTAAGATTAATTACTTACGAACTCCTAAATGTTAGAAGTGCCACTGTGCATAATAGTGATTATAACCACTTATTCGTAAACCACTTTATTTTATAGACAAGCTTTACCTTGCAATCGATTAGCAATCTTCTGGAGATCTATGGGCCTATGGCTAGTAAAGATGTTTTCTGTGATACGTACATCGAAATTAAATTAAAACCAATCTGGGAGACTAGATTTTATCGTATATAATTTGAACACTGTAAATATTTAAAAATAGTCGAGCATGGAAACATTGAAATAATTAAACATGGACATGGGATGAAATTCAGATTTTTTGTACCGGCCCTGGGCGCTGGTAACAGCAGTTTTTTACCAGCCCTCACCATAATTTACCATCCCTCACAAATTAACAAAAATATAGACAAGATCGACTGTCTCACTGACTCGAGTTGATCGCAAGGTCTTGCTTGTCGGAAAAATGTTGTAGTGTGCGGCATCTCGTATAGTAGCGGTTGAACAAACTATAAGTATAATGCAGATCGTGAATGATGTCTGAAGTGTTTTTGTCAATGTCATGTTTCACGCTTGCATTCATGATTTTAAATTTGTAAAATGTTGATAAATTACGGCATGATATCCTTCAGGTAAAACAGTAATGTAGGCTAATTGCTCATTAATGCTATAAACGAAAATGTAGGTACTCGCTAACACGTACGTCTGAAACCACCGGCTCGGAGGGCCGGTGTTTTGCCAATGTTACTGGCCCTCCAAGTAATTTGCCAGCATATGCCAGCTAGTGGGCCGGTGCTAATTTCGCACCCTGATGGAACAATTAACATATGAGTACTGAATAAACAATGAACACAAACGCTGAAATAGGATGAAATGTGGAACAATGGAAACAGTAAAACATGGTATGTAGTGGCCAGTATGTAATCATTACATAATATATTTATATAATTCACTCGTGTGGCGTGCTAGTTTTCCGCACTCGTTTTTCGTTTACGCATTCACTTGTTTTAGAATAGAGCTTAAGAGGTTTATGAGGCAACCATCGGCCGTACCCTTCTGCTAATTGTTCAACGTGCACTATTTTTCAGATGTTTGTGTGGTAAACATCAGTACTAGGGTGCACTAATCTGCATCATACACGTTAAGGTAAACGTGCGATCTGCATCATGTGGACGTCTAGAAAGCATGAAAGTAAGATTGGTCTTGTCGAGAAATTGTGCAATTCCGTCGTGAAGTGACATAGCCACCGTGACCATTTTAGTCTGTGAAACAGGATCCGACTACAATCTGGAAATGTGCATAATTTAGCTAGCAAATGTTTTGATCGGAGCATATGGACCTTGAATCTGTGCATATAGCATGAATAAAGTGTATGTTGTGTATGAGTCAAAACTCTCTGGGTATTTTTAATTACTGTTTGTGCCATACGTATTTAGGCCTAGGCCGAGCAGCCACTGTGTAGGGATGCCCACTACTGCTGATAGGGTCTATGTCCCCCAGGGTACTGCCGGAACATACCCTGGGTACGGTCCAGTATACCGGAACGTACCCTGGTACTAAATACTACTATCTAATATGCCGGACCGTACCTCGCCTACTCCACTAACGAGTCTAGGGAGTCGCCTACGCCTACTCCCTAACCCTAACTCTAACCCTAACCCTAAGCCTAACCATATCAGCTAGATAGTTACCAGGGTACGTTCCGGCAGTACCCTGGGGGACATAGACCTTATGAGCCCCACTACTGTTGAAAAACATCTCTATACTAGTTTAACAAAATAGCAGATACGCATTTATCGTAACACAGGAGCATCCCTCACTCAACCGTGGCACATGCGCAGTCTGTGGTCATGCGCGGGAACATGATGCACCTATAATTACATTCAGCACAGGTGTCCGTGCGTCCGTGCGTCAGGCTGTATATGTCCGCCGCAACACGCAAAATGTCAACGCACGTAAATTCGAGGTGGTCCCCCGACGAGCGGTCGCACCATGTCCGCCTGCATTGTTAGACATGCGACCACCCACGTTAGATATCGCTCGCGTGCGCGGCCAGGCTGTCTACGCCCGTCTCGCGACTCACCTGTTTACGAGGACCTCTCTCACGCACTTGCACTGCCTTCTGACCACCTGCTCAAAGTCGGACGGGCTCAGAGGCAAGGCTTCCTCTCTCATCTGTCGATACGACACGAATCTCACGTCGGCGTACCTAGAATCACGCGCGTAACACGCGAAAGTTATCTCATGCCAGCTGTCTAAAGCCTACATCAACACAGCAAACTTACGAGATTTACCTTTGACACTATCCTTCCCAAACTAAAAGATCTAGAGCCTCGTTATCAATAATGCTTTATTACTACGCACGATATTACTACTATCAAGTCACTAACATATATTCTATAGATTTGTGAGGATTATGTTCATGCTAGTATCGATGAGGGCTTCTGATTAAAATAAGATCTGATGATATAAACGCTGAAGTGTATGACAAGTGGGAGCATCAATAGATACCTGTCCTGGTAGAGATTGTGCAGTCTCTGCATCACAGGATTCGTAATGAACAGGTGCTGACTCAGACATTGCTTAGCATTGCTGAATGCGTCACGCCATGGTACCGGTGCCCTTACAAGCCTACAGCAGACAGTCCCAGATCAACAACGCAAGCCATACACGACTTCAACCCAAATGATATTCACCCTGTAGTACAATTCGATGGTGAAGTCCATGACAAGGTGTGAGCAAATCCTTACTTTAAAAACATTCGTCCTCTTACACCAAGAGTGTGGTTGCATGGCAGCACCAATTGCTTATTTTTGCAACAACTGTTTATAAACTTTAACAAATTTATCTTGACCACTCCCTAAAATTTTATCGTACGTTTTTTAAATCAATACTTCGAAACGCCGATGCTTTATCGAATGAATATCTTAGACATATAGGTTTGACTAATGCTTGGCTTGAATTTAAAAGTAGTTTACAACAAATAGGGATATGTTACTCATTCCAGTGCAAAATTATGACAAAAATCAAAACAGAATTAATAATTGCATTTTTTAAATTTTAACAACTATTTTGTTTCACGTGACTGATATACATTATCAGTTCTATTCAATAACATTATTTACAAACACAACCGACTTAAAATGCTTGATATATACCTTAATGGAAAGGTTCTTGGTGATGCATACACTTTCAACCTAACCCTTTCGTGTGGATCTTTCAATATGTAATCCACTGAAAAATATAACCATGACATCATTGGACTAATATAGGTAATGTTGGTGCACTTGCAAACACTATTACTGCGCATAAAACATAAAATTAATACTCAGTGCTAAACATGTAAAATAAGAAAGACAGATCAGTAGGAACACTAGATGCATTTTGATAGATTTGCACGAACACTTGGTTAACGTTATTCTATGCGAACCAACACCTTACTTTGATACAAACATTGGATGTCCAGTCACTCGTTACACAAACAGCAGTTTACCGATTGCTTGCTGAAGACTGAATCTGTAGTTGTTTTCCACTTCAGTATTCAACTCTTCGAGTAGTTTCTTCTTATGCTTCGCTCCCATACCCAGAGCCACACAAATTCTTCGCTCCACATTCTTCATTTGATCGCTAGGCGGTACAGCTAACATCGCTCCCTTGATGCCATTTTCAATGTAATATTTGTACCTCTGTAATAATCGAAACCTTCGTCGGTAAAACTTGGCAGAACGATCAATATTTGCAGAGAAATCTATTCATTGTTTGTCCAGGTGTTTATCCAGACATTACGTGCAGTAATATATCAAGAGACGTGGCATTCAACTTGCCTCAAGGTCACTGCTGCTTGGCTCCTGCTCACTCCTAGACTCCTGCAGCTCATGATGTTCCATTATCTCTATCTGCTCTAAGGGAGAAGCAGGCCGGCTAGCACTACAAGCCTGCCAGTCCCTGAAAAACATCCGATAACCTAATTAAGGTTCAATTCACGATTGTGATTCAAGACCACCTGGAGGAGAAGTGTGGAGGAGGAACTGGAGATGGGCTTCTCGCGAGGACAGACGCTGCATGCAGGCTGCCCAGGACAGATCCCACCCGAGGAACACTATTCGTACGGCCTTATGTCCCATCAAGGGAGCAAGAGGACAAGTGTAAGTGTCACGATTGTGAATAGCAAACATTATACCTCTACTTAATTACAGCCTTTGCATAATGTACGTTACATCTTCATTCTTACAAACACCTGCACAATGTTGGATAGCATCAGGAGACATAAAGAGATATTACACGATTCACCCTCATCATAATTATAGATATCTATACACCTATCGTTGAAACACTATACCTATTATTACTATCCATCCTCTTCTTCTTAGCTGGTCTTATTGGCGAGAGAGCTTTCTTTTGCTTGTAGTCACCAGCTGACGTAAGTATTAAGTAGTCATTAAACAAATATATATACATGGAAATTAATTAGAAACCAAAGCAACAATAATTGCGCCATGCACCTCCCCATCTGATCAGGTCTAATTAAATATGATCAGCAATAGATTACTGAAGCTAGTTAAAGAAATTGTCCTCGCGTTGCCCAGTACTTCTAACTATGAGGCTATACCATCAAGAGCTGATAATGCTTATATATATGGTCTATATACTTATATTGATTATTCATGTTATTTACAGAATTTATATATCTTATATTACATACTTATATGCATAATAAGTATTATTAACTCGTGACACTATCACGGACGATCATTGGCTAGGATACTATCGCGTGCATTAGCGCGTGATCTTCTCTGATTGTTGTAAAGGTTCCTCATGTTCAGGTTGTTCGCAGTGGGAGTGTAGTTGTTCGCTATGGAATCGCTGGGCATGCGGTGGTAGCGTTGTTCCTTCCACGGCACGGCAAGCGTCCATGCTGCCTCACTCATGATCGGTGGAAACTCACTGTTGAGCAGCACCACCTAGCGGTCAAGAAATCAGTTAGAGTTGGTACAGTTAATACAGCCAAATAATGTATATATATATATATCACTTTAATCGATCTTACATGAGTCTTATATCCTCTGATGCTAGATATGCTGATTATTAAACGTATTTATTAGGCAATCGAGGCACGTTGGAGGATTTATGGGATGTCACAAATTCAGCTTTGACGGCATATCTCAGACCCGACACACGTTAAAGACCTAGGGAGAACCCTGCATTTACACATTCATGTGCTCAGCCTCTGAATGAAT